AGTATGTGTTTATATTTATAGACCATAAATAAATTGGAATAGATGTTTAAAGGTAAAACTTTGTAAACTCAGCCGTGCACAAATCTCTGTTTTTTGTTAACATGTGTATATGGCTCTCACGATACAGGCCTACGTGCCTGGTGTGAGAACCGCTGCTAAATTATGTGTAAAGGTGCTAACTGTTAAATAAAGTATTTTCATTTCATTTTTTCATTTCATTTTCATTTCATTTCATTTCATTTTCATTTCATAAAAAGATACATATTTTATCCATCTAAGTAGATCTAGGTAGATACAGTCTGTGTCTCTTACCTTTTTCTATCACCGAACAGCAGTGTATCCAATATGTATTGTGTAAAGTATAATTACATGTTGTAAAGCATTCTTAGCCATAAGGGGTGAAAACGAAAATATAGTTGTCGCACGCATGCTCTATAATAGACACTTAACATCAAGAAGTCGCTTTAAATATCCATTATCATGCAAATGCCAAAGTAAAAACACCCTACTAAGAAAGTATCATCATATATTTACGAACTGTACTTAGTAGGAGTAAAATATTTCCTTTTATGACGTATCTTTTACTGGAATCACGTAATCTCTTAATGGACTTTAATCCTCACTGATTTCTTTTCGCAAGTTCATTACGACGACAGCCGTGCAAAGCGAAAGCAACAAAACGCGTTAATTAATGAACGTCTCAAGCTACACGATACTAGAAAAGAAATTGTTAAGGCGAATTGCCTCCTTTTTCATTTTGATTTAATATATAAGTTAATGTGCCGTTACTTGTTTCAAATATAAGAGTACAATGTGTTAAAATTATGAACTTAAAGAGAAGAATGTTTTTATACGTGGTACAAATGCATCTTGATTCTTCATCGAGGCGATATGTAGATATCGAGGCCTACTGTCTATGGGCCACAGCATCCACTTAAAATAAGGTGGACTGCGTGCTCGTTTGTTACCCTCATTCTAAAAATTAAAAAATAATACCGCAAATAATGTTTTCAAATGCTAAAAAGTTATTAATCATTATAACGCCATAAATTCCCTGCTGGTTTCTTCACGGTAACGTAATACCGCAGTTTATATTGTATGGACGTCTAACTTTAATTCATTCATTTAATATTCATATTCATTGCGTATGCAAAAGCCCGAGAAACAAGCCGCGCTTGCTATTAATATTTTTATTACACCTCAGATAATAAAGAAACTGTATTATGTTAAGCTTCTAACTAAAACGGATACGGTTTTAAAGCACTACTGATAGGTCATTTTAATAGCTATACTATGAATAGTTTACGTGGTAGAGTCATGCTGCAGCTATATTAGTATTATAGTTGTAGCACGAATGGGTCGACTCGACCGGGGAAGCACCACTGTCTCACGTAATACTAGCGTAAAATAGCAGCTCGATGCTGCTGTGTTTCTTAGGCCTCTGCCTCGAATCTTGCGGGCAGCGGGACGGCAGCGGCGGCGGCGCGGGAGCGGCAGGATCTTATGCGTAAAATCAAATGGACCGACTCTCGAAAACAGCGGCTTGGCAGCGGCGCGGGGGCGGGTAACGAGCGGTGTACTCCAGTCAAGCGGTGACCGCCCGCGCGTCTGTCTGCATTGCAGTGTTGTGCTAATTGCACAACACTGCAATGCAGACAGACGCGTTTTTGTGACGTTTCGAAATATCCTCGGACGTGCAAGAGCAAATTATTTCAGCAATTTTTGAGAGAACACCGATATGGAACAGCAAAGATGTGAACCATAAAAATAGAAGAGTAAATAACCAGTTATGGGAAGAAATTAAAAACGAACTGAATCTTAATCGCCCTTGATAGCTTCAAGAATATAGTCAAAAGTTTCTACGTTCATTCTGGTGTAGTCGTAGAATTTGTCAGGACATTGTCTCTGTTCTTCGTAATTTCGATAAAACTCGGCTTTATTTTTCCTTGCCCTATAAGTAGTAGGGATTCACTTCTTCTTTTGCCCACAGTAAATTGAGCGTTAGAAATAAATTTGAATCAAAAAGATGTTGTCGCCGTTGTTCAGACAACACACCATGAACACATCACTACGCCGCTATAGTGTCGCGCGATCTGCCCGCCAGTTTCGTGAACGGGTCTGCGTTGCCCGCCCCGCTCCCGCGCCGCCGTCGCCGTCGCTCTGCTGCCCGCAAGATTCGAGGCAGAGGCCTTACGGTGGGTGTAGAAAACCGGAGACCCCGTCTACTAGAAACGAGGCATTCCATCTTAGTCCTCACAGGTGATAACGCATCTGCATTTCGATTCGTAGTTGAGGATAGATGTAGATTTAAATAATACTAGTTTTTACTTTTTTATGTTACCGACGGTTCGAGCACTTTACAGCACCCATGGTCACAGAGGGGACTGAGATGATCAACCTCCACATGTCAAAGTTAACCGCGGTTACCACAGATTAAAATTATTAATTTTTGTTACGATCTACGCAGTATGAACTAAAAGTACCTTAAAGTCTTGCAGTTGTATGCTTGGGTTGGGATTTAATTTTAATAATTCTAGGATCAGAAGCAGATAGTAGCGCTCAGCCATCTTCTCTATTGAAATTAGAATGTTTTTTGATTTCAATAGCCTCGCAGAATCATCCTTGGAAGGATTCGGTGTTCTTTAGCGCGGATTTGTGGTCTATTAAATCTGATGTCTTCACATCAGCTATATGTTCTTTAACGCGGGTTTTAATTCAACTTTTAGTTTGACTTATGTAAGAGAGGCCACACTCACAATCAAGCTTGTGCACTCCTGCATTTATTACTTAACTTATTTTCGCGGTCAAAATCGGTTCACCTAGTTCTAAGATAACACACATAAAAATACAGTCGTATTGAGAACCTACTCCTATTCCGAAGTCGGGTTAACGTTTCTTAAGAAACAGACTAACTCCCGTGGCCGTGAGACTTGGTAGACAGCTCAGTTGGTTAGAGCATCGGCACGGATCGCTTAGGTGGTGGGTTCAAACCCCACTCGGTATAAGTTGATTTTGCGAATTTCTCATTAAATGTTAAGACATTTATTAATTTGGTTGGTCTTTCTATGGCTATGTTAATTCAAGCTCAAAGTGTGCCTACTCTGTTAAGTTGTTCTAAGATCTAAAGTAACGTTTAATAAATAACAATAGGCTGATAGGTAATTACGAGTCTTGCGAGACTCTTGCTGCAAGACCAAGACCAAGAACAAGACTGAGAGCGCAATACAAAGACCAAGAACAAGACCAGGTGTATTGGCGCAAGACCAAGACCAAGACTGGCTAAGTCTCGTCTTGTTCTTGCATTTGGGCAACACTATTCCTCTGCCATATGGCAGTACGACAGGTACACGCTCGACTGTAGCCGGCTTCACTCGTTCACTGTGACGTAGTGTATTTTCCATTATAAAAATCAACTAAAATTAACAGTTTAAGCGCCCGCGCCCGCTTATGCTATCCAGTCCTGTCTTGCGCTTGTGGCCAGAACCTGCCGAGACGTCCAAAGATATTTTTACATACCTGAAAGAGGCGCCTCTTTGAGGATAGATGGATGTCATATGTTTTTATTATATTTTCCCCGCTTTAGAGCTTTTCGCAGAGTGCCAGTTGACCTTAACACTCAGATTCGTTCCGATACATAGCCTTCGAAAAGGGAAGAGGAAAAGGGGTTTGTCATATTTTTACTTGGCCAAATTTCCCATCAGGGAACTTTTCCACCAAGAAGTTTAGGCGAGAACTTAACTACCGGTGGATATCTGCCCCTGTATTAGCGCCTAGATAACATATTATAATAGCATCGGTTTGCAAGAGCGAGAGGAGGTCAACTAAAGGAGGGAGCGAACCGCGGCGATGTGATACGAAGATTACCGAGCGGACATTACCGAGCTTCAATTTTACGAATATTATAATATAGATCGTAACATGAGTCACATCATACATCATTTTCATATTTCATTGATGTTAAATATTGTCTTCTTTAATATAAAGTTAATATATAGTATCGTGTGTTCTTCATTAATAACAAACCACTTTTGAAAATACTGAAAGAAAATAAAACAAGCAAGAGAAATTATGTTATTGTTAAAATAGTGGTTTGAAGTAGATTTTGATAAGGTCAATGGAGGCTATCGCAACTATGGGGCTAAAGCAACCAACAGCGATATCTTCTATTCTATGGTTTTTTAAATACAATGTCATCTATTGGCATGAAGAAAAATCGTAGTTTAACTTATTATAAACAGATGGCATCACTTGGATCGAAACTGTTTTTTTGTGTGCCATTTTCATCTCGTGTTTATTGGAGAGCGTCTCATCAACTTTCAACAAAAAAAATACTTATCGTGCATTTTAAGCAAGGGTTTATGCAACAACTTAGAAAAACTAACGGTAAGTACTCTATAAACTTATTTTTATGACGTTAGATCCTTTAAATCGTAAGATAATGTAATAGTTAAAATTAGCCTCAATTTACCGCGTTGTGGGGCTATTGTGTCTAGTTATTTTTGTTACAATAGCATCTTTGTGTTTGTATAAAAATAAATATGCTAGTGATGTCGAATGTCGATAATAAATCAATACAGTTACAGCACGATCTGAATGCATTCTGGACCTGAGTAAATTGTTTAAATAAAGGGTAATGCATTGCACTGCCCCTACCGTAATATACTCTATCGTTTTGTTTATTTTATGTATTTTACAGTAAGAACATAGTGTTCTCTTTTATTTTTATGCTTTTTTTTCGAGATATTTGAATTTAACTATCATTTTTTTTGGTTTAAAAATTTGTTCTCATTTATTTCACTTGTTTTAGATGGTCCGAAATTATATTAAGAAAAAAGAAAAGAGCTATTCAAAAGAAAAACTTCTCTAGGCACTCGAGTTAGTTAAAAACAAAACGTAGCTATTTAATAGCTACGAGGCAGAAAAAAAACTTTAATATTCCGAGATCTAATATAATTTCGCATTTGTATGGCACACGTGGCCAGAAGCAGGTGAATACTGGAATGAAGACAATATTTTCAATTGATATTGAGTGCAAGATAGCTTCGTATCTGCGTACTTTAGAAAAGTATGGCTTTCCTATAACTAAAAAGGAAGTTAAAACATTGGTTTCGGAATACGTTGTAAGAAATGGGTGGATAACTCCATTTAAGGATAATATTCCTGGAGATGATTGGTTTCGGCACTTTTGCAAAAGAAATAATCTATCATTAAAAAAAGCACCGTCAGTCGAAATAGCTAGAAGGAAAGCTTGCAATCCGTTCACCGTATATGAATACTTTGATTTATTGGAAAATGCCATAAATGATTTGGATCTGGTCGAGAAACCTGAGTGCATCTATAATCTAGATGAAACCAGTTTTTGCAACGATCCTTCCAAGAGTAAAGTGCTTGGCCAAAGAGGGTATAGTTCTACTAGGACAACTAGCTCCCCCGGCCGTGATAACACAACTGTCCTATTGGCAACTAATGTCCCACCACTCATAATTTTTCAAGGAAAATACTTGAGGAACGAGTGGTGTTACAAAAATGATAGTGTGAAAACAGCATACGCTGTAAGCCAAAAGGGCTGGATGGCAACATCAATTTTCGATAAATATTTTTAAAATGTATTTTTACCTGCGATCGGAAATGAGCGACCAGTTCTACTAATTTATGATAAAAATGTGATGAATATTATGTTCCATCGATTGAAACCCAAAGTGATGTTAAGCTAAAGTAGTTATTTTTATATCTGTTTTTTAATAAAGCATAAAGTCGTCATAGGAAAATTTGATAAATATTTTCCATTGAAATTTTTTGTCCTCTAATAAAATGTGATTTATATGTGCCGTTGCTTTAGTATAAAGTGAAGTCAAATAAATATAAATTAAAAACAATGCATAGTTTTATTTCACTTAGTCACCCATCATATTATCGATTACCTACACTTTTTTACAATTTATCGATATTTTTTACGCCTACACAGCTCTAATCTTATAGAAAATAGTTACATTAGCCCCCAAAAATACAAAATATACTTTTAGTCGTATTAGGACTTGACTGGTGCAACTTAGAGATCATTTTTGCGAAAATTTTACGCTGGAGAATCATGCCTCTGATTCTGAGCACATACGCTACAAATACAAATAAGTTATTTTAAACAGTTGCATTTACCCCAACATGGGGCTAATGCGACTTTTTCTGCCGGCATGGGTTAATATTAAGATTTTGGGTAAATCTTACAGCTTTTTGACATTATTATAGGTCGATACGAATCTATATGCCTTCTTAATCTTATAGTTTTAATATATTAATACAATAAAATAAGGTTGACATTTTTATCAAAAAGTAAATTTTTTTTTTTTTTAGTTGCAATAGCCTCCATTGACCTAACGTAAAAGTGGTGCGACTTTGTTTATTAAATTATTTTTTCTGTTAGTCGCCTTCAAATACTATTGTCATCGAGTGTCTATTCGCTCAAGCTTCCGTTAAAATCTACCCATAATTTCAATATGACGCATTAACAAAAAGTTAAGAAGTTGAAGAAGACAAACTTTATAAAAATAATTTCTTCATACTAAACTATGTCTGTAACCAAAAAAGAAAGAAAAATTGCACACAAATTACTCTCTATTCTTTTTGTTAATTATAAGTATCTCAAATAAGGTGAAAGCAAAAAAAGTCATTGATTCTGTTATGAAAATATATAACGTTATATTTTTCTTTCATCAAAATGTAAATCAGCAATTTACTTACCGTCACGAAACGAGTGAAGTTGAAATAAATTTATTGGACATTGATGAACGTGGATAAATAATAATGTTATATTCTCAAGAGATTTTTCAGTTAAAGAATATTCAACCAAAGTATATTTGAAGAATGAAACGATAGAAATTATTCTTTCGTTTCATTATTGTTCAACAATAAATATCATCGCACAAAGTTAAGTTTAATTGTAATAATTAGAACTTTATTTTTTTATTAGTTAATTATTGAACTTTTTTATAGAATAAGAGTGGCAAACGAGCACGCAGTCCATCTGATGGTAAGTGGATGCTGTGGCCCATGAACATGTGCATCTACGAGTATCTTCGATTAAGAATCAAAATGCAGATGCGTTGCCACCCGTGAGGACTTATAAGGGTTTATAAATATAAATAATTACTTAGTCAGGTCATAAGTTCTGTCAAAAACTTTTTATAAAATTAATGATACACTTTTTGATAATAATATAGAAATTATTTATATGAAATGAAAGGTAATTTAATTTAGAATACAATTTTATTTAGGTACATTATTTAAAATGCCCTTCCCTATTTTCAATACATGCCCTTTATCGCCGCGGCCAATTATCAATCGCAGCACGCACTACACTTTTATCTATTTCTGCCGCTACCAAAGATGCTCGGAAAGATTCCGAATTCTGATGAGGTTTAGCGCAGACCTTCAAATGTTGCCATATTTTATAATCCAGTGGGCTTAAATCTGGACTAGAAGAGGGCCAGTCTTCATGTCCGATAAAGTCAATTCCATGGACGGTCAACCAGTTTTGCGTTCGTGCCCTATGAGCTGGTGCAGAGTCCTGTTGGAATATCCAATGTCTGTTTTTGAACATTGTTTGAGAAAGAGGTTCCACTATGTTTGTTAGGACGGTATTTTAGTACAAGTCGGCACTGGTTTTTACACGTTTTCCGCAGAAAAACACCTCAGTTAATCCTGAATATGGGACTCCAAGCCAAACAATGAGTGACCAAGGATGGAATATTGAAAATCGCTTTTGGTGCGTAACCACAGCGATGCAACTCGATAACTGCTACTTCTTTCTTCGACCACTCCATATTTGAAAATAAATGAAAATTAATGTCTTTTTGGTTTTTGGCAAGCGCAATATTTTTAAAATTGGTGAAGTTCATCTAGCCAGTATTCAAAAATTTTAAATGATAAAGTGTTGACAGAACTTATCATCCGACTGAGTATTTTCTAATATTTCACTTTTTCCAGCAACAATTTTTTAAAATTGCATTCTTCCTCCGTGTCCAATAAAAAATCAGTAACAACCTCGAATATAAATGATAAAGTACCGATTTACGTCTCACGACTGTTCACATGTCTCCTTTCATTTTTTAGGGGTTATGGAGCAACAATTCATGCAGTGTTCCAGTGCGTGTTGGCGCACTTCACATGCCACGCGTTGCGACAACGCACACCTTTGCATTTCGTATTTGTGGATGTATTTTTTAGTTGGGTTGTTTTGTGGGCTGACGTAATCCCCCCTCTCTTCCGTTCCTTCCCCACACGGGCCTGCTTAATAGGAGGGAGCTAGATACTAGAGGACGCATCTTTGGTCCTCCAATGAGAGGTGCGCTTCGCCAAGTAGAAAAGGAGATGGTGTCGTCGCAATTTCATCGACCCCGCATAGCGGACAATAGAGAGGCCGCTCGCCGCTTTCCCCAGGTAAGTGCCAATCCTTATTACGAGCTGTTTTATTTGCTGTCCTTTATCCGCAGAAGCTCATCTCTCGCCGTGTCAGTCAACGCCTCAAATTAATTTCAAAGCAAGTATTATTGTCCACAGTCCGCCACGTGCCACGACCGCCATTTTGTTTTGGTTCCTTTTGAACCACGCTAATACAGTCCACTTGATCGTTCGCCCCGCCATACCTTTGGTCACTTTTCGCGCACCCGTGCAGTCTTCCAAACCATGTTTGCCTCGACCGCCGAGAACAGGAACTTAAAATAGCAGCTAGTAATTTTACTAACGCTTATTATAAAATTTCAACGCGAGCTTTTATCCTAACATCTACTTCACCGCTCATTAAAAGAAGCTATAAGTTTATATATTTTTATGACACGGAACACTGACTATGCAAGTACCCTTAACCAGTTTTTTAATAGCCAAATACCTTGAATCTACATATAATAATATATTGAAACGCATTATAGATAATGAGACATATTGGGTATTACTCATAAAAATCAACTCGTTATACAAATCGAAAGTTGTTCTGTTTTTTACTTAATGACAATGACAAGAGGAAGAAGAAGAAGACAAAGAGAGATATAGAGATAATTAATACTTAATTTAAGTAAGCGATTATCATCGATTATAAGTAAGCCGATTATGATTAAAGAAAGAAGTCTCTAAGTATAACCTGTATCCAAGAATCAAACGAACTAGGTATACCAACGAAATTTATCTCACAATGCCCCTAATTTGCCATTACCTACATCGGAAAGTCAAAGTATCCACTTGCCATCGGCTTAACTGTGTGCACTTTGGTCACCGTTATTCTATACTAAAAAAAAGTTTCGAAGTTAACTGAAGCGAATAAAAAGAACTCACTGAATGAAAATATTCTGTAGACGTTATTATGTTAACTCTTCACTACGGGTAATGGATTTTCAGTGTCGCAACCTTGATGTAGCTTTGTTGGTAGTATTTCCAGTAAGGGATTGTGTTTCAGAGGTTATAAATAGACATCGGAGTTATCTAATCCTTCATTGTCTCCAGTTTATTAAGATTGAAGTAGTAAGACAAGTATCAGTAACATCAAGCTATAATAAATTCGGTCATAGCGACAATTTGAATATAAAATCATATAATTCTGAGTCTAAGAACTACGTTACATACCCTGCAATTTCCCCCCGTATCGTGCTAGCATTTTCCATAGGTACCTAAGCTGATAAGGTAAACATCAAAACCCGATGTATATTTGTGGGCCATTTAAAAACAAATTGTTATGTGTGGGGATACGGATAGTCATGGCTCTTTATAACCGTCTTTCGCTTATTATCTAAAAAAAAGTTGCAATAAAATCTTGGATTGTACTACAATTTTAGAATTATGGGAGACTTATTAAAATTTTGAAAACTATAAAGAGAAAGGAGAGGTGAAGCAGGTTATATTACCTTAGAGTATATAACCTTAGTTAAGCTATTGAAAAGTTCAAACGCCCCTTAGAAAGCACGAGTTGTGACGAGGGGTGACTTACCGAGATCTATGTTTAAAGAATACCACCATCTTGAATGATGGTATATATAGTCTGATTCTGACGGTACTCTAAATCGCTGAATCTGATCTTGTCTTAATTTCTATTCTAATTGCTTACAATTTCTCGATATTATAATTTAATTTTAAATCAATTTAAAGAAAGAAATTGCATGATCTGAATATATAACTGGAACAAAAAAATTCATTATTTTTTAATTATAGCCCTCGAGACATCCAATAATTGCTCGTCTGGCGGAGCGTCAATTATTTTAAATTAATTCGCGTTAGTTCCGTTCAATCGCTAGGAACCTATTCAATATTTTATTTAATAACATTAATTTCATAATGCGATTTTTTTACATAGGATAGGGTGACAAACGAACACACAGTCCACCTGATGGTAAGTGGTTGCTGTGACCCATAGACATCTACATCTATCCTGGATTACTAATCAAAATGCAGACGCGTTTTCACCCGTGAGGATTAAGATGGGATTTCTCGTTTCCAGTAAAAGGAGTCTCCGGTTCTCTACACTCACCATATGAAACACAGCAGCATTAAGCTACTGTTTTACGCTGTTATTCTGTGAGAGCCTCTTCCCCGGTCGAGCCGACCCATTCATGCTACAACTATA